GACGCCCTCGCTCCGCAGGAGGACGCCCTCGCTCCGCAGGAGGACGCTCTCGCTCCGCAGGAGGACGTTCTCGCTCTGCAGCAGCTTTGAGTAAAAACAACAAACTCAGGACAGTTGAAGTTAAAATCAGGGATTTCGCTGCTTATCGTCCATTTATTAATTAATTTTGTGCATAAAATCCTCCACTTGTGTTTGAATTGCAGTTGAGCTGAAGTAAGTTTCTGACATACGGCATAATTATTCAAATGAGCAAAAATTTTAACATGTTAAATTTTCTTAAATGTATCGCTGTTTGATTTCTTATAAGTATGTGAAAAATATGAATAAAACCCCGTCTCTTATAGAACCTGTTGTGGTTTGGTATAAAAAAGTAAACTAACCAAACTGATCTCACTCTTTTGACTTTAAGACATTTAACAAAAGCTCAATGCTTTATCTCTGACTGGATGATTTAATTTAACACTTAAAAAAAACAACAACACACAAAACAACACAAACCGTCTCCATCTCCACCTTCTACTGTTTCTCCACAGTCCGGTCACTGAGGAGAAAGTCCTGGTCCAAACCTCATGACCACAGGTGAGGGTTGGAACAGTAAACCCTGAGCTTCATCTATGGACTCAGCTCTTTCTTCATCACGGCCGACCAGAGCAACGCCCTCATTACTGCAGACGAGGCCCTGATCCAACGATCCTTCTCCCATCACTCAAACAAGACGCCCGGATACCTGAACTCCTCCCTCGACCCAGAGAAGGCGTTCCACCTGAACTAAAACTTTATTTTTTAAATAAAGTGTAGCATTCTGCTGTGGTTGACAGTCGGTCACATGGGCTCAGGGAGGGATTATGGGTAAAATTTATGTTCATTGTTTATCATTTCGGTTGTTTAGCATTGTTCTTTTATGATTAGTCTGTCCTTCTTAGCCTAGTTTATGTTCATTAAGTGTCAGTTTGTTAGGTCATTCTGTATAGTAACCATGAGTGAGGGAGGTAGTTGTCATGACGACCTGTGGGGTTCACTCTGTGTTGAACAGTAAGATAAAGTCTTGATCTACAACAAGAGTTGCTGTGCGCTGACATGCTACATTGGTGTCGTCTCGTGGTCTGGCGGTGGGCAGGGCTTCGCAGCGGGGTTCTCCCGCAGCATGGGTATGGTGGCGTCGTTATCTCCAAGTGGTGGGCGGGGCTTGGAGGGAGTGTTTTCCTGCACAGGAGACAACCGCCTTTGACAGATCTTTGGCCCTCTGGGAAATCAGGCCCAGCAGCCAATGCTGCATGTCCTCAGTGATCAGGTCTCAGAGTTTCCATCTCCCCCACAGGATTCATCCCACTTCTGACACCAACGTAACGTGTCAGCACACAGCTACTGAGGGAGATGTGCATTTCTTGTAGACCAGAAATCACCCACCAGGTTGCGTTTTGTGGTTTCATGGTTGCTCTACCACAAACAAGCCCAACACAAACTAACACTTATGAACACATGAACTAGGCTAAGAACAGACTAATCTCTGAAAGAACAATGCTAAACTGAAATGATTAACACTGAACATAAGTTCTAACAATAATCCCTCCCTGAGGCCATGTGACTGGCCGTCATCCACAACAGAACGCTACACTAGTAAATAAAATAACTGATCAAGTAGGTTTGTTAAGAGTCTATTAGTCTAATATTTTATTAAATGCGCATGCGGCCGTACCTCTATAAGCTCATCTCTCTGACGAATCCCCTCTTTGAGTTCTTCCTGTTTGTGCTGCAGCACCGAACACGTGTGTTTCTGTCGTTCCAGTTCCTGAAAGGACGGACGCAACGTTCAGTTCGTCAGTATTTTGGGATTCCAGGTACAAAGCGGCGTTTGTTTTCACCTTCGACTTCTCCTCCAGCTCCCGCTTCATCTCGGCTGTCTGCTCCTCCATCTCCTCGATGACGTCCTTCAGCGTGTCCACCTGGTAGATGAGGTTGGCCTTCTCGTTGTCCAGCTGTGCGTTCGACACCATGGCCTTCTTATATTTCTCCTCCACCTCAGCGAGTGACTCCTGAGATGTTCGCAAACGTGTTAGAGACTAAACAATCTGCTTCAGAGCTCGGCTCACCTACATGCATCAGGTGGCCTCTGGTGGGAAAAATGATTAGGTTTTAGAGCCGTTGAACACAAACGAACCAGACAGGACCAGAAATCTAAGGTTTGCAGAGAAAAAAACCTTCATACTCCCTGAAAGTTTACACGTTTTGTCACGTCATATAAAGGTGGCTCTAGAAAGACCAACTCGGGGAGGGTGTGAATAAATGTACGCTGCATTTTTATTTTTATTGGTTTAAATGTTGCGAAATGTCAATGCTCTACTTTGTGTTGGTTGTTCACATACACAAAAAACTTTCAAGTTTGTGGTCGTAAAGTGACAAAACCAGGAAAATTCAAGGAGTACGAGTACTTGAATCCACTTCAGATCAACTCGTGACATAAATGAAGAGAGAAGTGACGGATTGTACAGTAGTTAAGAAGCATTGCTTCACTTTCAGAGGTGAAACCTGGATCTAAATGAAAATGAAATGGCTCCTGGAGAACAAGAAACTCAGTTAAAGAGCATCAGTTGTGTCAGAATCTAGCAGTTAGGAGTCGGGATGTTAGTAAACTACAATTATTAAAGTGACTTTTTATCTGAGTGAACAGGGAGGAGCTGAAGAGAACCATGCGCACCAACAAAATCCTGACCAGGAGCCAAAGTGCGAGTCTCTGTCAGCGTCTGCAGGTGGAGCTCATCGCTCCCGTTTGAAACTCGGCAGGAATGAAGGAGTGTCGACTTCGAATCAAACCAGGAAGTGATGAAAGACCATGCAGAAGAAAAAACTACACAGCTCAAACAGGAATCATCCAAAGGCACGGCAGTGGAGTTAGGAACAACGAAGGAGGGAGGAAGGGGAACAAAGAGTGTGTGTGTGTGTGTGTGTGTGGGGGGGGGGGGGGGGGGGGGGGGGGGGGGGGGGGGGGGGGGGTAGTGATGCCACACTGTTCCCAAAGGATAAAAGAAGGCATGCTTTGAGCTCAAGCCCCTCTACCTTCAGCTCTTTAAGCCCTTGCATGTACCGCCCCTCTACATCCTGAATCTGGTCCTTTAGTTCATAGATGTCCTGTAGAGGAGATGGAGGAAGGATTCGGGTGAACTGGAGACAGCAGGGGTGGTGAAGGACAGAAAAAGCACCCGTGCGGACATCTTAAAGACAGACTTATAGGACACACGTCACCCAGAGAGAAACAAAGGTTAAAGCGGACGCAGAGGACAGCAGGGGGGGCAGCAGCGGCATCGCTCTGAGGAGTTTCATACGTAGAAGTGTGAACGAAAAGGTTTCAGATTTATGGAGCATCCAAAACTCTAAGAAACAGCACGGTGACGTTTCAAACGGCGTACCTTTAGCTCGCTCAGACTGGTGTCGGGGTCGTAGATGCTACCAGCGTCCGCGCTTCCTCGCCGTGACGAGGTGCCGCCGAGCGACGCCAGAGCGGCAACCGACAGCCCCGGAGTGGCGCAGCGGGAAGACGGCTGAGGAGACAAAACCGCCCAGAACCTCAACAAGACGACTCACAGAACATATAAACAGCTAAAGGACATGATCAATGAGGTTCTGTGGAGACGATATGAAGAATTATTATCTTACCTGCTGTAAAGAGCTCTTTAAACAACTTGAGTTTGGAGAAAAAGTTTAAAGCTTACAGCTAATTTAAACATCTAAAAACAACTCCTACCCTAAAAAAATTAAAAGCTTCTATATTCAATGTCGCACACATCTATACTCAGAGCCGCAAGCATCTGTACTCAGAGCCGCAAGCATCTGTACTCAAGAGCCGCAAGCATCTGTACTCAAGAGCCGCAAGCATCTATACTCAAGAGCCGCAGGCATCTATACTCAAGAGCCGCAGG